GGCTGATTTCACCTGGGCTGTGTCCATATGCCCGGGCTTGTGAATCAGAAGAACACGAAGTTTCTGCTTCAACTTTAGGCTGGAAGTCCGCCATTGGTTCCGTCGAAATCTGGCAGGTGAGCAATGCCGTGTCAATACCTTCTTGTCCATTCCTGCAAGAGGCGGTCGAAGAAAATGAGACTAGCATCCCCACAGAATCAGAAGAGAGAACCCAACCATAGCAGGGCCATGATCCAAAAAATTTTGCCTCAGCACCTTCAGGTGTGGCCTTGGACTACAAAGTGAATGTGAGCTTGGGCCCAAACAGTTATACAGTTGAAGCCTTGCTGCGCCCAGATGACGAAAGCTTTGACAAACGAGCTTCCTTAATCTGGGACGCTCACATACAACAATATACCCTCATCCCCAACCCTAAACCCTGGGGCTGGCGGGACACCCCGTCCTCGCTGAGTAGTCCACGGGGGAAGCTATCAGCCTGGCTCATAGGGTTTAGGGTTTACCGGGTTTAGGCGGTTTTTGGTTTAGGGTTCAGGGGTTTGTGTTTTTTGGCTTAGGGTTTAAGGTTTTGTGTTTTTGGTTTAATTAGGGTTTTTGGCTTCATTGCACACTGCGCGTGTACAAGCACGCCCAGCGATGCTCTTGCTGAACTTTGTGTTCCTGATGCTTCTCTGCTTACCGGCTGCTAGTAAGGAATCTGGGACTATGATCCCTGTACTATACCTAGATGATCATTATATAATATATTACCCTTCTTCCCTACTAACAACCGTAAAGAGTTGTTTCCATTTTCTGTTCCATTACCCCAATATCACCACAATATAACCCTATCATAACACAGCTCCCTGCCTTGAGCACAGACATCATGGCACCGGAAGCGGCTAAAAGGTCAATTGCGTCAACGTCGTTGGCTTCGGCAGCCTGGTGGAAACTGGGGGCCTTTTAGCTGCAGTGGATGCCTGAGAAGCATGTGAGCTAGAGTCTGAACTCCTAGTATCCCCCTTTTTAACCCCTGTAACAGTCCCCTATATAATCCCCTGTAAGGAGTTTAGACTATAGCTCATTCATTGCAAGGTAGGCCTTGTGGAGGGCCAGCGCATCCAAGATGAGCCGACTGTCCATCAGCGTATACCGCTTGTTGATGAGGCCAAGAACCTTAAAGTATATTCTAATGCATTATGATGTATTGTAGTATATTATAATATGTTATTGCACAGTATAGTGGCCGTGCGCATTGACTGAGTATGCCGAGCTGTTTTCTAGGAGAGCCAAGCAGCTGTGAGAAGGTAGATGTCTCTGAACTTGTTCCTGGGGACGGTATTTGCAGGTAGGGCTTCAAGGGTTTAGGGTTTAGGGCTGCATCTTGCCGGAAGTTCTCCTCGCTTCAAGCCAAGTCACTCGAGCTGCTGGCAAAAGAAGGCTTCAAAGTCCACCATGTTTGTGAACCTTGCTTGGAAGGTCAGGGGGACTTAGTAAATAGGTTAATAACCCCTATAACCCATACAGTACCCCCAATTATCCCCAATATTCTCCTAGTTACTAAGTCCCCCTGACCCTAAACCCTAAACCCTAAACCCTAAACCCTAGTAGTTTCCATTTTCTTTTCCATTCTTACTAAGTCCCCCTGACACCCCAAGTGGATCTGGAGCTCGACTGCCGGCACCCGTCAGCAATTCTGTTCCATGCGCCAACCCAAGCAGCTCACCCGGCCCAAAGCTTCATATTATGGTAAATTTATTGGAACATATTATAATATATTTTAGTAGGTTATAGTATATTATAGTATATTATGATATAGTATAGTGTATTATGGTATAGTATAGTTTTTTATGGTATAGATGCAAGCGCTTGGACTTACAGAGAAGCAGCTTTTAACGAGTTTGTCAGCCAGAGCACATGCCGTTAACCAGCTGCAAAGCGACGGTCTCATCAACAGAGACCTGCCAGAAGCGGATGCAATCCAACTAGGGTTTAGGGTTTAGGGTTTCTGGGTAGTAATAGTGACTATAAGGGATATTAAAGACTATATTAGGGTCCTCTGATATTCCTATTATACCACTATTACAGGGTGGGGGGTCCTCCATTCATGCTGGTAGCCCTTGTTGAGTTAGTAACGGCTCTTCTTCCTGCTTCGAGCTTGGTCGGAAACTTGGTCCGCCAACTGATTCAGCGCCTTGTAGTCGAAGCGGAACTCGCAGAACTGCCAGAGGTTATCTCCCAAGCTTGGGCGCTGAACCTCTGCTACTCCGAGATGCTCCAGCAGCACAGGCATCAGGCAACAGAAACTGAAAAGAGCTAAAACGAATCAACAAAGTCAAGCCACACCAACAATCTCAACCTCCTCCGTGCAAGCTAGAATGCAGCTGGGAGGGACTGTGACCTTCCTCAGTATCATGGGCAACTAAGACTGGGAGGTTTCCCAAAATTAGGGTTTAGGGTTTAGGGTTCAAGGTTCAGGGTTTGGGGTTCAGGGTTTAGGGTTTAGGGTTGAGGGTTTAAGGTTTAGGGTTTGAAAAGGATTCTAGTATTTTGGGGTCTATATTGGGGTCCCCCTGTTTCGGGGAACTACCACTTTGGGAACCCCTAATGATCAAGAATCAAATGGCAGGTAATCTGCATAATGGTATATTATGGTATATTGTGGTATATTAGGGTATATTATGGTATATCATGGTGTATTAGGGTATATTATGGTATATTATGGTATATCATGGTGTATTCAAGTATCCCAATGATGGAGAATCAAATGGAAAAAAACATGGAAGATGAAGTGAAAATTTGGATTGTGTAGGAAGTTTACTACTTTAGCTAAAGCACCGTCACAGCACTGATTTTAACGGAAAAGGAAATGGAGACTACTATAGTATATTAGGGTAATATAGGGAATACTGGAAAAGAAAATGGAGACCTAAACCCTAAAACCTAAACCCTAAACCCTAAATGGGCCCTGCCATCAAGTCTTTCGCCCCACTCCTTGACTTCGTGAATGCCCCAGTTTCCCAACTACTTCTTAAGAAGCAGCAATGAAGACAATTATAGTATACTATAGTATATTGTGGTATATTATGGTATGATATGATATAATATGGTATAAGATGGTATATTATGGTGTATTATAGAATATACTGTAGTACCTTCTGGTACATTATAGGCTTACCCAAACGAACATGCTGGCTCAAAATAACATGCCCCCAGAACACATGCTGGCATGCATTCTGGATTCAATTTCTTGAAGCTCTGGGAGAGTGCCTGCAAAGGGCAGTGCTTGCACAGGCAGAACGCACCAAGGCCCGTTAGTTTTGGCTGTGCTTCGCAGTCCTAGTCTGTCCAATCTCTAACTTTGCAATCTGAAAGCTTGACCAATCCCTGGCTTGTAGGGAAACTCCTCAAACAAGCTGGCAATCAATATGTGGGGGGGCAGGGGGCCGTGCCTCTGCAAGACTCCATTTCATGTACTCCCCGCGTGCCACTTCTTCAATGGCTACACGGTCACCATGCATCCGAAGCCTGGGATGCGCTTGAGCTAGTAACTACTTGTAACTGGGCTTATAACCGTAATTGTAAATAGGGTTATAGGCCCAGCTATAAATCTTTTACCCTATGTAATCCTAATATTACCGTATACAACCCCAATAGTACCCTATATAATCCTTATATTACCCTTATATTGATTACTTAGTCCCATGAACCTCGGGGTAGTCCAGTGATTGAATTGCTGCCAAACATCTTTGCTCGCAGCACACCGAAAGGAAAATGCCGGACTCTTAGCTCCTGTTCACGGTCAGCCGCACACATGCACTCTCCTGGGTTGGCCCCTAAGACCCCTTTGAAAAATATTCGTATAAAGGGTGCCCGATTAGAGCCATCAGGGGAGATACTAAATATCCCAGGGGCCTACCCAGTGTCCCCTACCGTCGCGATATCCCCTAAACCCTACACCCTAAACCCTAAACCCTAATCTGCTCAGATGTGCAAGTTTGTTGCTCCTCAGCTGTGGCTGTTCGCACACGGAATGGAGGCTTCAGTTGCACCGGGTCCTGGCAGCCATGATTCTTGCCCAAAGCGTTTTAGAATATATTGTAGTACACTATGGTGTATTGCGGAATTTCATGGTATATTATAGTATAGTATAGTATAGTATAGTATAGTATGGTGCATTATGGAATTTATGGTATATTATAGTATAGAATTCGCACGTTTGGCATCTCCGCCCGCCCCAAAAAACAGCTACCTTGTGGGCAAACTCACCCTGCAGCTCAC